TAATAAAAGCATAATATGCTAATTAGACTGGACAACTGAACGACCTTCCGGACGTCATTCCAGATGTCCTTCCTGACGAAGCTGTGGTGGTGGGACTGAGGCAGAGGTGGTTAGGGGCAATCAGGCAGACAGACAGAGGCAGTTAGGGGTAATCAGGTAGGCAGGCAAGTGGTTAGGGGCGATCAGGCAGGCAGGTGAGTGGTTAGGAGCCAGCAGTTCTGGATTGCGAGAGGGTGCAAGCTAGGCTGAGAGACCCACCTCCCACCCCTCACCCCTATGCACAAATTTCATGCACTGGGTCTCTAGTTAGATAATAAAAGCACAACTTTCACCATGTTAGGTCTGATCCTTTTACAAACAATCACACACACATTAAAAGAGGCCCCTGTACTGAGGACCCTCTGCTGTGTATGTAACAACATTCCTCTGGCTAGAGGGTGGCCCCTGGCCCCCCGGCCCTCTAATGTTGAGTCTCAATTTACAATGTAGGATGAGCTTTTCTGTTTTTGTTTATTGCTTCTTTTATTCTTCACAACAGCTCTCAAGGGTTGACAAGAGAGCTGTTGAATTTCTCAGGACTGACAGGATCTTCTAATGTGAAATGTATATAGAAGAGACAGAACTCAAACAAGAAAGAAAGTAAATGCACAGTACTTTCAGAAAAAAATAAGAACAGAACATAGAGTTATATGAGATACATAACTGGAATTCTATAAGGAGAGGAGACTCTGAAAACAGTCCCAGCAGGGCAAGGGGACAGTGGGTGATGGTGAGGGAGGTGAGGTGGGTATTGTAGCTGGGATGGTGACATTTGAGCTGAAAACTAAATGACAAAAGTCAGCCAGGAGAAGGAAGGAGTGAAATGTATCCCAGAGAGAAAAAACAACTCTAAAGGCCCTAATATAGAAAGAGGCTAGGTCTGACTAAGGAATATCAAAAAGTCTAGTGTGGCTGAAACACGATGAGTAAGAAAGAGAACAGAATGAAACATGGCTGAAGAGACAGGCAGGTGGGGCCTGTGGGTCATAGGCAGCTAGCAGAGCAGTACTCATCAAGCATTCCTTTTGCCTCCTCGCATTTGCATTTCGGACAAAGCACAAAGTTGATTACTGAGTGTGCCCAAGTGACTAGCTCTAGCCAATGGACTGTGGCCAGAAGTGATCTGTATAATTTCTGGGCTAGAGCATCAAAGAGCTAGCACAGAAATATCAAGATGTTTCTTTTTTCAGATGACAGACCAGAAAGTCAAAGTAAGTTGAATTATTGAGTTGAAACATGGACTCAGTTGCCCCAAGTCATGCAGGAATAATAAGAGAGAAATAAACCTTCATGCTGTTAAGTCATAATAAGGTTACCCTGGCTAATATCACATGGTAAGAAGTTTGGATTTATTCTAAATGTAATAGGAAGTCATTTGAAAATTTGAGCAATAGAATTATGAGATCATATACATATTTAAATGACCACTTTGCTGTGTGTGGAATAGATTATGGGGAGGAGGGACAGGAAAAACCAGGAGACCTGTTATAAGGCTATTAAAGTTAGTCTAGGTTTGAAATAACAGTGGCTTGAAATTAGTGGTGGCAGTGGAGGTAGTGAGTTGAATTCAGGATATATTTCAAAGACAAAAGTAACAAGACTGATGGAAAGACTCCAAGGTTTTGGGCATGGGCAACTGAGTGAAGAAACAGACAGAGAGAGTAGACAGTAAGGTGGGCAGGATGAGAATCAAGAGTTATAAAACTGTTTTGGTTTAAAGATCTCTTCCAGAGAATAGGAAAAAAGGAAAGAATACTTCCCAGCTCCTTTTATAATGTCAGCATAACCTTGATATTAAAGCCTGACACTATTAGAAGCTACATAAATGCAAAAATCCCAAACAAAACATTTGCAAATCAAGTTCAGAAACACATAAAGAGGAAAATACATCATAATAAAATTGGATTTGTTCCAGGGATGCAAGTTTGTTTTTAACATTTGCATATCCATTAATGTAATTCATTAACAGAATAAATGAGAAAAATAATCTCTATAAATGCAGATAATCATGTGATAAAATTTAATACTCATTCATGATCTTAAAAAATGCTTTTAGCAAGTTATGAATAGAACCTCTTTAACCTGATAGAGGTATCACAAAAACCTAACAGCACACATCATACTTAATAGTGAAATATTTCCTTAAGGGCAGGTATGAGAGAAGAATGTCTTCACCATCCCTTTTAGTCATCCCTGTACTGAAGGTCCTACCCAGTATAACAAGGAACCAAAAAATAAAAATAAAAAATAAGGAGGAGAATTAAGGTATGCATAGGTCAGGAATGAAGAAATAAAACTATCATTATTTACAGATGACAACTGAATCTATGGAAAATTCTGAAGACTATGGATTAATGATTAGAGTTGATAAATGACTTTATCAAGATCACTGGATGGAAGCTAAAGATACAAAAATCAATTCTATTTCTGCACACCAGCAATAAAAAATTAGAAAGTAAAAAAAATATTAAATGATAACACTTATAATAGCATCAAAGTAATCAAATACCTAGAAATAAATCTAACAAAAGCTGTGCAAGGATCTCTACATAGAAATCTACAAAACACTATTGAGAGAGAGAAAAACAAAGAAGACCAAAATAAGTGAAGTGCTTTACTATATTCATGAATTAAAAATCAATATTATAAATATATCAATTATTTACCAACCTGATTCACAATATGCACGTAATTCTAATAAAAATTCCAGCAGAGTTTATAATTGTGTGGAGTTAACAAGCTGATGGAAATACAAAGGGAAAGGCTAAGAATAACAAAGACTTGAAGAACGAAGTTTGAGGATCACCAGATATCAAAACTTATTGTAAATCTTCAATAATTACAAGAGGTGGTATTGTCAACGGATAGAAAATAGACTAATGGAACAGAATCGAAGATCCAGAAATAGACCTTCAGGTATATGGCAAAGGGTCACTGATCACTAGTGGGGAGAAGATAATTAGCTCAGTAATAGTGCTCAGTCTATTGGATATCCTCTGGAAAATAACAACTTTGATCCATATGTCATAGATACACAGATATCAAATTCAGGTTGATTGTAGACCTGTGAAATGCAAAACAACAAAACATCTAGAAAGTAACATAGAATATCTTCAGGGGAGGAAAAGATTTCTTAATCATGACACAGAATACACTGGGATAGAGAAAAAAGAATGATAAATTGCTACATTGAAATTAATAATTCATATTCATCAAAAGATACCATTTAGAGAAAAAAAGAAGAGTCATAAAGTGGGTGAATATATTTGAATATATAAGCAACAAAGAACTCTTAACTTGAATATATACATATTTTTAATCCTCACTCGAGGATATTTTTCCATTGACTTTTAGAGAGAGTGGAAGAGAGAGGGAAAGACAGAGAGAAATATCCATGTGAGAGAAACACATCAATTGGTTCAATTGGTTGCTTCCTGCATGCATCTTGACTGGAATTGAACCTGGGATTCCTTTGGCCCGCAGGCTGGTGCTCTATCCACTGAGCCAAACTGGCTAGGACTTAACTTGAAGCATACAAACAAATAGAGAAATGGACAAGAACTAGACCAGACACTTCACAATAGAGAATATGTGTATGGATAATAAAAACCCAAAGAGGTACTCAACCTCATTATTCTTCAGGGAAATGAAAATTAAAATCACATGATATGCTGCTACACACACCCACATGGCTAAAAAAAAATTTAAATGAAAATACCAACTATTGGGAAGGACGAAAAACAACTAGAACTCTTATACACTTCTTGTGGGAATATTAACTGGCATAATCTCTTAGGAAAACTGACAATGTTTACTACAGTTGAACATATGCCTTAGTAATTCCAGTCCGAGATACATACCTAAGAAATATATGCTTGTGTACTAAAAGATATGAGCAAGCATGTTTAAAACAGCACTACTGCTATTATAAACTAAATGCCCCAAGCTAAAATTTACCCAAAGTTCATCAGTGGTAGAATGGATAAATTGCGGTATGTTCATACAACATAGTACTCATAAAGCAACAAAAGTGAGCAAACTATCAACAGAGCAAGATGCCCAAGGATCTCTAGCTGTTGCAGCTGTTTGAGTCTTCCCAGACTAGGTCCCAAACATATGATGGAGAAGCCTTTGAGATGGTTCTAACCCTAGCCACTATCTGAATGCAACAGCATGAGAAACGTTGAGTGGGAGCAGCCCATCTGGGTCCATTCAAGCCCCACATTCAAATTATTGTGACTATTTTAAGTCACTGTTTTAGGAATGAATGTACACAGCAATAGGTAGCTGGAGTCTAGGTTGAAGTACTTAGGGGGGAAATTAAACAGAATACATTAAATCTATAAATCCACTTTAAAATGTTTAAGGAAACAACTGAATTTGTAAAAATCCCTCTTAAAAACTATTGTTTAATACTAGGGTCAGAAATAGAACAATAGATTTGTAAATTGAACTTAAAATCTTAAGGGAAAACTAAGTTTTAAAATTTCTAGTTCCGCACATTGAATTTTAATTAAAAAACAAACAAACATCACAGTGAGAACTTCTTGGATAGCTGACTTTTCACTGAGCTTTTCAGAAAGTTAAAAGAAACAACACAGGGAAAGGAGCTGAGTGATTTATTGAGTGCTTCCTAGGTGCCATGCCATGTCCTGGGTGCTTTGTCTAAGTCAACTCGGGATCCTCACAACAACCCTGTGAGCTGGGTTTATAGTCCCCACTTTGCAGATGAGTCCCCGAGAGGCTAAGGTTCTGCCGTTAGTAAAGGATGGACCCTGTGCCTTTTGCCCTTGAAGATGCCTTCTGCTGGCAGGAGAGCTGGTGGAGGTGACATGGTCACCCAGGGCCCTGGTGTAGCTGTCGTGCTGGCATCTTGTCTGTGAGCCTTCCAGGGGTGAGGAAAGGGTGTGCACGCAGCCCTGTGAAGACGAACATGGCCAGAGAAAAGCATGGTCCAGGGATCCTTAAAGTTCAGGAGTGTGGATCGGAGCCAAGGGGGCCTGTCCCGTGGACATAACTTGAGAGTAGCTCTGGAGAGGAATTCTAGAAGCTGTGGAAAGAAAAAGAGGAAGGATTTCAGCACTATGGCTCCCGATAGCTTGCCTAACTTCATAGGGTTCTTTTACCTTTTTTTTTTTTTTACCTCTAAAAATTCCCAATGTTTTAACTGTACCCTGTTGGGGAGCACATGAGACTTGGTTGGAAAGTTGTGAGGAGGACATTCTGAGAAAAGGGAAGTGTGTGGAAGGCCGCCTGCCCTGTTTATCGGAATTTCGACTTAGGGGAGACAGGGGAGTGTGGAAGGCGGCGCCCCTAATTATTCTTTGACCTTTCCAAACAAGACTGTGCACATGCAGACCCCCGGGGTGTTTACTGGAATCCTATGCTTAAGCCCTGGATGCCCTTGCCTAGAGGATAATGCAAACATATGTGTCCTCTCCCAATATTACTCACCCTACTGATTGTATATAAAGATAAAAATACCAACAAAAGCCTAAGGAGGCAGGCAATTGAGGCTGCCTGGCTGCTATCAGCCGGGCCATCTCTTAGCCCTCTCTTTCACACGAAACTGTGGTGGAGTAATCTGTTCATCCATCATTCAGATAATGCAAACACGTGTGTCCTCTCCCAAGATTACTCACCCTGCTGATTGTATATAAAGATAAAAATACCAACAAAAGCCTAAGGAGGCAGGCAATTGAGGCTGCCTGGCTGCTATCAGCCGGGCCATCTCTTAGCCCTCTCTTTCACAGGAAACTGTGGCGGAGTAATCTGTTCATCCGTGGGTCAGCCCCGGCAAGGTGGTGCCCGTGTGGAGCCCCGGCAGCAGCCAATGCCTACCATATAAGGGCAGTTGTATCTTTGAATAATTTCATTCTAGAAAGAGTATTAGGGTGAGTCAGGTTTGAAGTTATATAGTTTGATCCTCTCAATTTATAAGCGAAGAGACCAAGAGATCAACTTCTGTTGCCTCCTATGAAGAAGTTCTAGAACTCTACTTCCTAACACTAGCGAATGAGCTTTTAAAAATGCTGTCGAGAAAAATGGGGAGTTTTGTAAGACCTCTGTCTTATTTTCACTGAGAGAGGGGTAGGCGGAAGGCCTGTGAGACGTAAGTGGAAGAAGAACCTGGGAATGAGCACCGGCTGCAGGCTGCTGGGACCCAGAGGGCAGGGAGGGAACTGCTGCTCTGACTGGACACAGAGCCTCGGCAGGTAGAGTGACCCTACCTCCTACAGACCCAGAACCTGAGATCCCGGGCCATCACCTGTCATGTCACCTTCAAAGGCAAGTTTTCTGCCCAGGAGTTTTTACAGGTTCTGGGAGAAAAGTGCTGTTTAACAACACTGACAGCTACCAACACACCTTGCAGCCACTGCAGTGTGGTGGTGGTCTGCCTCCTCCCGAGCAAATAAGGAAAACAGATGATGTCTGGCCATCACTTAGTTATTCAGGGGCTGAGAGCTAGTGTGTGTTTTCTTTGGGCTTCCATGTTTTTGCTGCTCCTTTTGTTGTCAGGGGATTCTGCTAATTGCCACCTTCCCTGAAAAGCCAGACTGCAGGAAATAAAAGGGGAAAGTCATGTAAGTCTGACAGAGAGCAAGAGAGAGAGACAGAAAGTAAGCTTGCCAGATAATTCTACACACATAAAAATACCTTATACATTAAACTAGTGCTTTCCAACTTACAAACTGCCTTTATATAGTTTATCTCAATTACTCCTCGCACACAGCAACCTGGTAAGGTAGACAGAGGCTACCTGTCTACCTATTAGTAAGTGTTAGTTATCTCTTAGATTACTAGTTACCCCTGCATACTAGATCCTCAGTAAACGTTTGTTGAATTGGTTCTTTGGCCCTTGCTATGCTGTCTTGGGCTCTTTCCCTGACCACTCTTTCCCAATATACAATCTCCATATTGTAATCTCTTTCTCATTTGTTTATTTATTTAAATAAGATAGAGAAAGGAAACAATATATAGTTTTTACTTTCCAACCACAGAGTTTTGAGAACAACTTAAACACAAAATCAGCCAAAGTTCAGATAGCTTTTAATGAATTAATGATAACAGACTCATTATTTGACTTAACTGACCACTTCATGGATGTATTCATTGAGTATCTCCTATAGTCAAGACACCAAACGGAACACTGTGAGAGTGTCCGTGGAATTAGATGGGAAAGTTCTAGTGATGGCAGGGATAACATGGGGCCTGCTGTAAGACCCTGCGTAGATACACTACCCAGCAGCACTGTTTTGCCTGTTAAAAGAAGTAGCACCCATTTGTGTTCAATTCTGGGCACCTCAAGCCTAAAAAATGTACTCCCTTCAAAAAGAGCTGCAGTGGAAGCTCTGTATTCAGCTGTAAACACTTGGACAGGTGTGGGGGACCAGCACGGTGTCAGTGCGGCGAAGCTGTGTCCCTCTCAACCGTGCAGAATGCAGCCAGCCTCCTGCCTCTTATGGAGGGGCTGTGCCGGGGTGAATAGCAACGAGCTTACAGTTTTGGTAACCAAAGAGCCAGGGAAGAGCTGGTGCATCTTGTCCTGCTTTAAAAGGAAACAACAGCAAACTGCTACCAGTCACAGAGACTATGCTTATTCATTACAGCAGTCACTCTTGAAGGAGTTTAATGGCAAATAAATGAAACCAAACATCCAAAACACAATTCCAAAAGGGGGTCTCCAGTTTAAACTATCCCATTATCACGGGCTACACTGAAAGGGGTCTGAGATTTGGCCAATTCGATCATGTTTTCAAGTTGTTCTGAAGACGCTGTGGTTTGGAAGGAAACAATATGATTTTTCCTTTCTCTCTATTGCTTAAACAACATTGAAAAACCTACTCTCTTTATACTGCAAATACCAGTACTTTAGAGAGTGGGTTATAGTGGCAATTTCCTCATCTTGAGCTTCAGAAATGGCTGCATTAGGAAGGAGGCATTTCACAGCAGAGTATTAGGGGGGGAGGACCTAGGAGATGGAGCTGTGACCTTTCACGTGGAACATCTGCACCGTCACACAGGGTAGGTGACAGGCTCCTCACAGCTCCAGAATGGAGGGAACTCTGACTCAAGCAGGACCCACCACCCAGCAGGGATGAAGACCGTCTTAAGACATAAGAGAAATTATAGCGAAAGATAGCAGAGTTCTTGCTAAAAGACACTCCTGTGTCTCGGGCTTGTGTCTATTATCCTGCTGACTGGCTTCCCCTCTCCTCTTCTGAGCAACTCACTCTTTGCCTTCTCTCATAAAAGAAAGTAGTTAGGTGTTTTCACACCTTCCCTTAAGGGTCTCTCTCTCTCTCTCTATTTCTCTCTCTCTTTCTTCCTTTATTTCTTCCTTGCTTTCTTTTTTCAGAGGGAGAGAGACATTGATGTGAGAACAAACATCTGTTGGTTGCTCCTGCATTCCCCCTACCTGGGATCCCAGGCTTATGACCTGACTGGGAATTGAGCTGGCAGCCTTTCGGTGCACAGGATGATGCCCAACAATTACACCACACCGGCCAGTGCTTAAGTGGTTTTCTTTACAGGCAGAGGGAGAAGTGCTGATCTTGAAAGAGTCAGGATAAAAAACGACAGTGGGCCTTGGCCGGGTTGGCTCAGTGGATAGAGCATCAGTCCTCAAACTGAAGAGTCCCGGGTTCGATTCCGGTTAAGGGCATGTATCTGAGTTGTAGGCTTGCTCCCCACCTCCTCAAAATCCTCCAGCACCAGGCTGGTGGAGTCCTCACCCAGGCTGTCCCTGTCAGGCCGGGACATCCTGGCCTGGGAAGGCTGTGCTGGAGGGTGGGTGGCAGCTGGAGAGGGAGATCAAGGGGGCACGTGTGAGAGGCAACCAATCGATGTGTCTCTCTCACATTGATGTTTCTCTCGCTCTGTTTCTCCCCCACTCTTCCATCCTCTCTAAAAATCAATGGAAAAATATCCTCAGGTGAGGATTAACAACAACAACACTGAAGTTGGGGTTACAGGGTGGTTTAGGAGGAAGAATAGATAGAGCAAGGCAGGAACATGGAGGAAAAGAAGGTCATAGAAAGATAAATACATGAACAATAAAATGGAGAAGATGTAAAGGACAAATATGAAGAGGGGAAACTGAGAAGAAGAAGGAAAGGAAGTTTCTCTTAGTAAGAGCAGCAAACTGAGACAACCAGGACTGAGCAGAAGTCAGAAGGAGGGAAGACATCAGAGAACAGACAGAGCCAGGAAAAGAGAAGGAAACCTGGAAGAGCATGAGAACAGAGAGCTGCTGGGAGTTCAGAGCGTGTTTCAGGGGGCAGGTGAGTTGGAGAAAGAGAGGGATCCACAGGACATAATCCTTATGCCTGGAGAGGGGCGTGGATGAGCAGGGAGGTGACTGTCAGCACAATGGGAAGGGGGCAATGAGAGTGGACAAGGCCAATGGCACGGGTCGACAAGTGATCTTGGGTGCTAGATAGATCCTTGGGATTACCCCAGAGTTAGCTCCATGGGGCTCTGGGGACAGGGCACCACAGGAGATGATACATTCCAAACCTATACAACCAAACGTTTAACCTCTCTCGCCTCCTTCATCAGTTATATATATAACTTGTTTTTCAAAAGATACAAACATTCACTCACCCACCTCGCGTACCTGGAAACCTTCCTCCCTGGGCTGGTTCCTCGGGAATTTTGTCAGTGTTTCCCAAAGAACCAGGGGTCTCTTGGGGCTGCCCTCCTTACTTGGAAATGCCTTCCAAGTAGAAAGCTGTGGTATTTTCCTCAGGAAAAGCCAGCTCTCCACTGCGGTTGTGTGGAGTCCCAGAGGAAAATGTCACGGCACTGTGAGAGCAGCAAAGGGAACATGAAAGCAGTTTCCCAGAACTGCTCAGCACAGCCTTTCTTGTAGGCCTCTCTGCTCTATGAAGGAAATCCTGCATGTACCATCCGCGCTCCCAGACCCGTGCCCACTCCACCCCACACTGGTGTGGTTTGCGGGGGGAAAACCAGGCTTCCTATATACATCCGATGGCAGCCACGCTCAGTCAGAGCGGCACCCAGTGCCCTGTCTCAGCGGCCGGTGCACTTTCCCCCGGGGGAGAGGAGAGCGAGGCAGGCACATTTTCCTCCCGGGGTTATTAGCCTGGATCCCAAGCCTCTTCGAAATAGATGATTTGAACAGAAAATGCACAATCCAGGCTAAACAATGACTGCTTTCCAGAGCAGACTCTATGCCAGGAAGAACCAATGGGAATTAGAACCATGCCAGTTTTTTCTCCCCTCTAAAGTGCATGACACACACACACACACACACACACACACACACACACACACACACAATACATGCCACAAATAAAATCCCCGTTATTGATTAGCACAGTCTTGCAAAAAATTTAGCAACCTGTCTGCTTGCTCAAAATGCCAACCAGCCAGCCCACTTTCCAAAATGCAACCACATTGAATAAAGAACGAGTTAGAAATTCCCCTCATGCCTTGCATGCGCCCGCAGTGAGTTGCTGTCTGCAAGGCTGGGTTAACACCCCTTCCTGGGAGTCCTCTGAGAGGACAGGCTTGAGGAAAAGCCAGGCCTCCACAAGCTGGGTTAAGGCCACCTGTTGGCAGGGAGGTGTGGCAGCTGCCATCTGAGTACTTACATAGGATCCTGGGCCGGTGGTTGTGCCCAAGTTAGCTCTCCCCTCACCTCATGTACTCCCCATCACTCCTATAATCCATGAACGACTCTGATCCTGACACCTCCTCAAAATCCTCCAGCACCAGACTGGTGGAGTCCTCACCCAGGCCGTCACTGTCGGGCCGGGACATCCTAGCCCGGGAAGGCTGTGCTGGAGGGTGGGTGGCAGCGGGACGGGGAGAGCAAGGGGGCATGTGCTGGACAGGTGTGGGCATGGCCTGAGGAGGGGCTGGGGCTGGCTCGTGGACTTCCTCATCCTCCTTCTCAGACTCTGGCCCTGCATCTGAAGCAGCAGAGCCCAGGACGTGGTAGAGGCTGGGGAGACGGATGTCGAAGCACAGCCCAAACTTAGCAAAGAGCTTCTCATTGAGAGCGTAGAGCTTTTCTGAGATGTCATAGCCCAGCAGGACTGAGAAGAGGCGGGAGATGTATCGCTCTTTGGCCAGAAGAAGGTGAAGACTTTTCCGGGGCCAGGAAATGTAGCTACATGGGGTCTCAGCAGTCAGCGTGACCTGAGATGGATAAGGAGCACAGAGTGGAGGTTTAAACTAGAAAATGTGTCCATGTTTAGCAGAGAGAAACATACAGTTACTGGGCAAACGATTGCACTTTTATTGAGGAACCTGTGGGAGCACCTCTCCCCCCCATGGCCTTGCCTGGAGGAGGCCTAGCAAATGTCTTTTAATTGTGTGCACTGGTGTGTGGGGGGCGGGGGGAGGAGGGGGTGGGTGGCCTATCCTTTTCAGGAACCCTGGGATCAGCCATTCATTTACTGGGCCCTCACCTCGGGGAGCCTCAGTGGTCATATCTCATAGTCTATGGCCCCATGGCTGATACCCCTAATGGCTACAGAAGGGTCCGGGTCTGTTGTGACTTCAAGATAGAGAAGGGGCCTCCTAGTGCTCTGAAGAGAGGTCAGCATGGTGATGATAGCTTGGTTTAAGAATAAAGAAGGGTACTATATTGGAATAGGGAAGCAAGAGGAGTTGGAAAGCATTTTAGAGATGAGCTTCCCTGGGTATTAGGAATGCCAATCTGCAGCAAGTGGACAGAACATTGGCCTGGGATTCAGGTCCAGGAAATTGCTCTGGACTTGGCCACTACATGTAACCAGACAGATCTGATGACTAAAGTCAGAAAAAGGGCACACAGATGAGGAAATCTTCAGAGCACCCTACTCTCCATTGATTCAGTCGCCTAGGAATTTCTGAGTATTCATTATGTGTCCATGGTGCACAGCTAAATCACACTTGCAGGGTAAATCTTGTGTGCCCGACACGCAGTAGGTGCGTGACAAGTTCTTGTTGAAATAATGATGAGTGGTAAAACTAGGGTTAAAATGGAAACATGCTTAGGATAGTGAAGGATAAGAGTATAGAATCACACAATTTTTAACAGTCCTAAGTGGCCAAAATACTTGAACAGTGAGAAGGTTGGCAGAGTTCATGATGAAAATTTGTGAATGGAGACGGTGGAAATAATTATGATGATAGCAGCTAAAATCAATTGCCAGGCATTGAGTTAAGTTCTGAATGTGGATTATCTAATTAAAGGTAGGGTTGACTCTACATTCTTTCTTAGAGATTTTATACAATCCTCATAGTTCCTACCTTGCCTACCAGAGCTCCCATTATCCCAGTCTCCTCCCCCTTCCTCCATGCAGTACCCTCTTCCATTTTCTCTACTCATTCCCTCCGAATCATCAGCACTGGAGATAGGGCCTTAAATCACCTCACCGTGGCCAGAAGCTGGCTTAAAGTTTCAGCCTTACCCCTTTTCTAGCTCTGTGACATCAGACAAATTACTTAATCTCGCTGAGCATGCTGCTTCATGAGAAAGAATTCGGAAAGTAGTAGGTACTCGCAATCCATTCAGCAAGTAGCTGTCCCTCTCTGCCATGGTCTGTACCTTAGATGTGCTTACTAACAATTCCCAAACAAGAAATCAGAGCGCTGATAATGAAGTGGGCATTAGTAGGCGCTAATCCGGATGCAAACAAGGTGCTTAGAGCCTAACACAAAGACTGTAGGCATTCTTCGAACATGCTGTTACTTCTTCCATCTTAACATAAATCAAAATTTTAAAAATGAAAATTCTTTTTCCTCACCTCACTTCTTTGGTGAGCTATCACTCCACTAATTTGTTTTCCTTTTCAGCAAAACTTCATAAAAAAAATTGTCTATACTTGCTGACTCCAACTCTTCTCTTACTCTCTGTTAAACCAGTAAGGGGTTGCTCCTCGCAGTCCACAAACACTGTTCCCAGTAAGGTCACCAATGAACTCTAAGTAGCAGTGGTCAGTTTTCATGGTGTTCAGCCCTGTTGACTGCTCCCCCCTGTCTGATACACGTTCTTCACTTGGTTCCCAGGATGCCATACTCACCTGGTACAATGTCCTGATTGCTCCTTTCAGCTTCTTTTGCTGCGTCCTCTATTTCTATCCAATGTCTAAACACTAGACTGTCCCAGGTCTTGGTTCTTGAACCCCTTCTCTGTCTAAACTCACTCACTTGGTGATCTCATCCAACCCAACAGTTTTAAATATCATGTGTATGCCAACAACTTCCAAATTTATGTCTCACCTCAGGCCTCATTCCTTAATTCTAGACTCAAATATACAACTGCCTGTGCAGCATCTCTATTTAAATATGCACAGGTGATGCAAATCTAATATATCCCAAATTGAACTTCCTCTCTTCCCCCTGAACCAACTCTAACTACAGCTTCCCTTAGCTCAGGTGATTGCAGCTTCCTCCTTCCAGCTGCTCAGGCCAAAAGCCTTGGAGTTTTCCTTAATCCTCTTTCTCTCACACACTGCTTCCAATGGTAGGAAATCCGTTTGGCTCTATCTAGGAAATATATGCTCTGGACCTACGTGATGTGGCTCCTCATCACCTCTCTGACTTCCTCTCCTGCTATCTTCTCCCCTCCCTCTCTCTGTCCCAGCAGCACTGGCCTCCTTTCTGTAACTCCGACATGCCAGCCCCTCCAACCACTGGCCTCGGCACTGGCTCTTGCCTCTCGCTGATACGTTCTCCTCCCAGATATAAACAGAGCTCACACTTCTTCAGGTCTTTGCTGAGATGTCACCTGCTCAACGACCTTACTTAAAATTGCAACTATGTCTTCCTTACACTATATCTTTTAACACAGCAGTTATGAGTTTTTAACATATTACATAATTTAGTTATTCATTGTGTCTATGGCTTATTTTTTTCTCCCCTACTAAAATATAAATTGCATGAAGGCAGGGACCTTCATCTGTTGTGTTCACTGATATATTCTAAGCACCTTTCGCAATGCCTGGTATATGATGAGGATACATATCACTGAAGTGAGTGAATGCAGCAGGTGAAGACTACCCATCTTGTATACCACTTTCTCATGTCCTGTGTAGAATCCTTCCCCAAACGTCTTCAGGAAACCTGCTTATTAACTATGTCTGTAAGTTGGACAGACCGTTTATTTAATTCTCACCTCAGAGTTTGGTTGAATGAATTAAATGAGATAACATATTCAAAGAGGCCCTGGGCCCAGTAAAACTGACAGGTGTGATGAAATGTTGATTCACTTGTGGCAAGCACGATAAGAATTATGATTCATCCAGTCACTGTGGATTGCCTTACTCAATAAAGCCTATGTAATAGCAAAAGGACAAAATAAACTGTAATTCGGGACAACACTTGACATTTGCAAAGAGGAAGTGAGACTTTACACAGCAAATGTGTGCATCTCATTTCTCCCCAATGAGGTGCACGCTAAAAATATAAATGGGAAGAATATGATGGTACCTACATTCCAGACTGCAAGGTCATCTGGGGCTATAGCCCTTCTTTTCAAGCATAACTTAGGGGAGGACACTCAGCTTATCCACCACCTGTTCCTCAATGTCACTGTCAGAGACAGAGCCTAGTTCTGCTGGCTCAGGACCTCACTCAGCCCTCCTAGAGGTGCTATGGCCCTGGGGGAGTTCTCAAGGGAGAATGCTGGGCTGGTTGGAGTGTGTGTGTGTGTGTGTGTGTGTGTGTGGTGGGGAAGGAAGTGACCAGAGGGGATCTAAGGCTGGTGGTCCTGGCAGTGGTATCAGGTTTGCTTCTCAGGCTCTGTCCTCAGGGTGGGACGGAAGCAGGCCCAGCCAGGTGGCACTGACTGGCATGTGTTTATTATGGGGTTGGCTCAGATGCCAGCCTAAGAGACTCCCTGATAGAAGTGGTAGGAGACACATGGAAACTAGTCCTGGCAAACTGTCTGGTCAGGGGAGTCCCTGTAACAGAAGAGAGAGAGAGAGAAAGAGAGAGAGAGAGAGAGAACTTGACTTTCCTGGTGACCGTCCCATTTAAAAAAAAAGAGAGAGAAATAGTAGAGCCAGGCAGCTTGGCTTTGCTACTTTCTAGATTACCTTTGTCAAATTACTTGATGTTTTGAGCCTTAGTTTCCTCATCTGTAAAACAGGGGTAATAATAACATCTAGCCCAGAGGGTTGTTGTGAGAATCAATAAAGCAATATAATATGTAGTGCCTGCCACACATTAGCCATTCAGTAACGAGAACTCAAAGAAGGTAACTGAAGTCTGAGGATTGGCAGGGAAGAGAGGAGAGGGCAAGTGGCCAGGTCCCCACCTTGGAGTGTGTATGTGAATGCCCCGGGCAGTCCTCGGAGACACCAACTGCCCACTGCCAAGCCAGTTCAGCCAACGTTTATTAAACACCTACTGTCCTTTAGAGCCTGGAGATAGAGAGAAGGAGAAGCCCAGATTTCTACCTCAAAGAGTTCACTGTGCAGAAGACAGAAGGGAAAGCAGACCCTTAGGACAGAGAATGATATGTGCACCAGGCAGCCTCAAGAGAAGGAACAGAAGGCACACGGACAGGAACAGCAGGCTGTGGGGATGGAAGCTGGTGAGGTCAAGCTGGGCGGCTTCACAGGAAGTGAGATGCCACAGCCTCATCTGCGTGGGGACATGCATTTCAGGGAGAAGGGACAGTAGGGGCCAAGGCATGTCCATGGCTAAACAGTGGCTGTGTTTAGTTAGGTATGGCTGGGTGAGGGGGAGGGGCTGAGATTCGGCTGGATACCTCTAAAGGTCTTAAGTTACTCTCTAAGAAGTGTGGGTTCTGATATTGTGGCCACTGGAGCCTTCTGGAAGGATTTAGGCACAAGAGTGACACGGCCCACCTATCGGGGGTCAGTATCTCCCTATCCCGCCCCTCTCCCCCCACCTCTTCCAGGAGCCCAGGTACTCTTCCCACAGGAGGAGAGTGCTCCACCCCTCACATCACATTGGCGGTGCTTCCAAGGACAGATGTCAGAGGGGAGAAATGGGGAGGGGGTGGTGGTGGTGGTGGTAATTGCTGGGTTACAGTGGGATGAGCAGGGCGGTACTGCCATGGGGCTCCCTATTACCTGGAACACGCCCTCCTCGGAGGGCGGCAGTGATTCCCACTCAGGAGAGTCCATGAACTGGTAAGGAAAGATGTAGTGCAGAAACTGCCCGTCCTGGCTCACACGAACCCTGGCAAAGGGAGAGAAGACACTGTGTGGGAAAACGGGAATGGCTCCCAAAACAAACCCTCTTCAAAGTCTAGACGACACATTAAAAACTGGAAAATGATTAGAATCTAGTATGGGTTTTTCCTCTTCCCCCCAGAAAACACACAGTTTTAGCTTCAACCTTTCTTCTAAAGTGAGTTATACCAAGAAAGGAGGTGTCTCTATCAGGCAAAGGGAGCAATAAGAAGATCTCTAGGGAGAAGCTGAGGTCATCATTGGGTCTTTTTATTTAAAGTGGATGGAAAACTGTTCAGCAATGCAGACGATTAAGTGCACTATTGTGGGCGATGGTGCCATTGGTAAAACACGTCTCCTGGTTGCCTACACAACAAATTTCCATTTGAGTGTCTACTGACTGTTTCTGACACCTGTGCAGTCATAGTTAAGATCGATGGAGAGTCATCTTGGACTTTTTGATACCGCAGGGCAAGAGGATTGTGACAGATTACATGCCAGAAGCCAGTCCACCCTTACTGCTTGACACAGTCGCTGCAGGGAAGAAACATCTGCACAGCTTATGTTTCAAGGTACCTGGCGTATATGGCATACTGTTCTTAATATGTTTGCTCCCCTTCTTAGCGCTATGTGTTTTAACCAAGGTCACCTCTCCGAGAAAGGTTGTTTAGGACTAAGGAAGGGAATCAGTAAAACCCCTTAACTAAGTGCTAGGCGGGTAGTTAATCACTTTAACTACGAACAATCACGCTGAAGCTACATAATCTTTATTTAGGATAATCTCCTTCAGTTACTTCCTTGTAGCTTAATAGAACAATAGAGTAACCTTGGAATGGAGATAAGAAACGCCCTAACCTTTGGAATAGAATGGATAGGATTAAAATCAACTGGTATAAATACAGATGTAACACGACAATACAGAGAGAACCTGGCTATGATGTCATTCCTTCTTCGCCGACTCCATCCACACCTTTGGGAACCCCTGGACCTGCTGGGGATGGACCCCAACAGATGTGGCGCCCAAGGGACCCTTAGGTAAGCCCCCCATTCCCCTAGGTAAGCCCCACTCTCGGGACGGATAGGACTCCACCGTAGGAAGAGGGTGGATAGTCTTCGCCAACTCTGTCCACACCTTTGGGAACCCCTGGACCTGCTGGGGTTGGACCCCAACAATTACAAACGCAGAGTTATCCACAAACAGATGTGTTTCAGATTAGAAACAGATTAGTTTTTCAGTGGTCTCTCCATCCTCATTTGAAAATGGAAAGGACAGTGGGTGCCTGAGATGACTCAACACTGTCCAAAGACTCCTTTCTTGCTGCTGAGAGCCAAACTGATCTCAGAAATGACTCCTCTACTATTTTCTTTGTTCTGATGTGTTTTTATGAGAATTGTGTACAGTTGTAATCATTCCTTCCATCATACATATTATATACAGTAACATTCAGGTATCTGAAACTAAAATAACTAACTGACAAATTCTAATATTACTCAGAATAATTCTATCTCTATTAACAAGAAAAGCAAAACCTCTGAGTTTCTCTTGGAAAATTTGAATTCAGGGCATTATTTTACAATTTGGAAATCTGAGTAATCCAACTTTAAGATGACTTTCTCATTGTTGAAGTTTGCTCTGTCGATGTGCGATTTGGGACTTCCTTTTGTCTCAAGCCATTCCTGCATATGACGCACTTTGGAGACGGGACCTTGCAATTGTCCTTGCACTGTATTCTGGACCCAGCCTACCAATCCCAGCCTTTTACTCTCAGCCTGAGTGTACTTGCGGAAAAACACCCCTTGCACCTTTCCCAAAACCTCATAATCCACCGATATCAGGGTGTCTCCTTCTGCCATGTTCATGCTCAAACCCTTCTGGCCTTCCTGGCCGGAGGCCGGGCCAGCACCGGCGACCACCAACCACCACGCCAATGGCTCCCCCCGTCGTGGATCCCTCTACTATTGAGAAACTTGCCATTTCCCAAGGACAAACAGACACCTGCCAGGCTGGCTGCCATCAATAAATCAACAAACAAATGTTGGAGAGGATGTGGAGAAAAGGGAACCTCAGTACATCACTGGTGGGAATGCAGACTGGTGCAGCCACTGTAGAAATAGTATGGTGGTTCCTCAAAAAATTAAAAGTGGAATTGCTGTTTGACCCAGCAATCCCACTTCCAGGAATCTATCCTAAGAATCCTGAAACACCAATCAGAAAGAATATATGCACCCTATGTTCATAGCAGCACAATTTACAATAGCTAAGATCTGGAAACTGCCCAAGTGCCCATCAGTAGATGAGTGGACAAAAAAGCTGCGGTACATTTCTACCATGGAATACTATGAGGCTGTAAAAAAGGAGCTCTTACCCTTTGAGACCACATGGATGAATCTGGAGACTATTATGCTAAGTGAAATAAGCCAGTTAGAGAAAGACAAGTATCACACGATCTCACTTACATGTGGAATCTCATGAACAAAATAAACTGACAAACAAAATATGTCAGGAGGTATGTGTGCACAGGACAGAATAACAGATCTCAGTGGGGGTGGGGTGGGAGGACAGGAAGAGATTAACCAAAGAACATATATATGCATACATGCATAACCCATGGACACAGACAACAAATAGTATGGGAAGGTCTGGGGTGGGGCAAGGGTTGAGTGGAGGGGGGCAAAAAGGGAGAAAATGGGAGACATCTGTAATACTGTCAACAATTTTTTTAAAAAAGCCTATCACCCCAGAGACTGCCCAAAAGCTGGCTGGTGACAGTATTATGAGTGCCCTAGAGCCTCCAGAACTGAAGTGTGTGCTACTATGAATAGCTCTCCAGCACCCTTTCTGCACAGCTGCTGTTAGCATCATACTAAAAGCAAATGTTTAAATCAAACCAAGAATTACAAATGAAAAGTTCATTTCTGTGATAAGGACGAATGCCCTGCACCCGCCCACATGCCCTCGAGTGAGACAAGGCCCATAGGCAGGGCCCTTCCCCACCCTCAGTACCAGTTAGTTTTGAGTAATTGTGCATTGTCAGGAAAGTGGTCAGTGCTAGTTTTTGTTTTGTTTCAAAACAATGTTGTTGTTTAAAAGCAAGGCATGCCTGTGACGAAGCGGAACAGACCACTTCGGGTTGTTGAAGCTGCTCCCTGGTTCCACTCTGGAGAGTAATCTGGGAGTTCTGTTTTGTTTTTCTTTTTGGGGGGCGGAGTTGTTTTATTTAGTGATTTTTAAAACTTCATTATCCTTTGGACAGTCCTTAAGCGGGGGGAGCATGGAGTGATTCCATATTCCACTCCTTACATCTAGTTTAGAAAACATGTTCCCCACCCGGTGCTCGGAGGAAGGAGTACAGTAAATGCCTCACTGAATAACATGCTCCTTGAAAGTCACCTCTTCTCTCCACCCTTGAGTAGGTCCAGTATTTGAGGAAACTCAGGAGTGGGTGGAGCCTGTCTTGCCCCTTCTCTTTCCCAGAATGCACTATATATGTGACTGTGACTTTCAAGAAAATTTGTTAGCCATTTGATGGTTTTTGAAAGTTAATTTCTAACTTCTTTTGCTGATAAATGAAAAGTATTGCACCTTTTGAAATATACCAAATAGATTGAGTACGTAAAAACCATTTCCCCCCGTCAGTCATTGTCTTATTAGGTTGCCTAGCATAGATGTGCAGCTTAATAGTGTATGATATAATGATCCTAAACACAGCTGAAGACATGGTATGTATGAGGGGTGGTGCTAGGAGAGAGATGTCTGTGGAATGATTCATATCCTCTCTCTTTCTTTTTAAAAATGTTTTATCCTTACCTGAGGATATGTTTATTAATTAGAGAGAGAGAGAGAGGAAGGGAGGGAGAGAAAGAGAAAGATCGATGTGAAAGAGAAACATTAATCAGTTGCCTCCAGTACACGCCCCAACCAAGGATTGTACCCACAACCTTTTGGTGTATGGGACGATGCTTCAACTAATTGAGTCACCTGGCCAGGGTAATTCACATCCTCTTTCAAGTTATGAGGATGGAGACCTGCTTTGTTAAGAAGCGAGGGTGGAGTGGGGAAGGAGAGAATATTTAAGAACATGGGGACCAACTAGGGGAATCCCTTATTTCTGTTTTGCATGAGGAACCCAAGAGCAGCCAATCAAAGCTCTCTAGTTAATAAAAACCACTAGAGCGTCTTCTGAAGACACTGCGTAAGTGTTAACAGGGATTTTATCAATTTCTTTTGGTTTCAGTTTTCAATATTTAAAAATGTTTAGGTAATCTTCTCCACCGTCCCCGAGTCCTCATTCTTGTAGATTCATTAGTGTTGAACCAATGCTTCTCATATCTTAGTTCTTTGTATATGCATTCTTTTCAGATGTGTTAAACAACACAAAAACCCTTACCAAAAGAACAAAACAAACAAACAAACAAACAAAAAAGATCTCTAAGGTACACCCTGTCAATTTGGAAGAAACAAAAACCCTTACCAAAAAGATCTCTAAGGTACACCCTGTCAATTTGGAAGAAGCTACTGTTCCATCATTTCTGGAGCTTTAGTGACGAAACACACTTCTGGAAATGAGAGGTGGGTACGATCTGCTCCTTGCCTCTAAGGATTTCACGATTTAGTGGAAATCACAGGCATATAAATAACTGGCTGCACGTCAGTGTTGTGCTATTGGAATAGAATATGTCTTCACGTATTCGGTTCCCTCTAGAGGTGGACTTCTTCCTAATCCCCACCTTCTTCTCAGGTCTCAGCTTAAGCACACCTTCTCCCAGGAAGTCTTGCTGGACTTCCCCAGAAAAGTTAGATCTGCCAGTTACACGCTCTGATTGCATTTTGCATTTCTCCTTGGACATTTTATGTATACAATTCACCATTATGCTGAGTATTAATCATTGACTTTCTTGATAGACTGTAAGCTCCATGAGCACAAGGACAACATTTTTCGTATTTTAACACTGGATCCCTAGGTCCTAGCACTCTTAAATCTTTTTTTGGGGGGGGAGGGGGGCAGGGAGAGGATTGTGGAAAGATGGAATAGAGCAGTGGTTCTCAACCTGTGGGTCTCGACCCCTTTGGGGGTCGAACGACCCTTTCACCGGGGTCGCCTAAGACCATCGAAAAACACATATATAATTACATATTGTTTTTGTGATTAATCACTATGCTTTAATTATGTTCAATTTGTAACAATGAAATTGGGAGTCACCACAACATGAGGAACTGCATTAGGATGGTTGAGAAACAATGGAATAGAGGGAGGGAAGAAGGAATGATGGAACAAAGGAACTCACTTGTGTCACCATAAAGGGGGACCAAAATCTCAAGGAAAAGCTTCTCAAATAAAGGAAGAAAGACAACAGGAGAGAACGAGGCTCCTGAAGCCTACATCAGATCCTTCCACTGTCTCCTGAAGCAAGGAGCCTCGCCACACATGCAAGCCACCCGGGAGCACCACTTTGGACTGTGAGCAACATCTCATGAATCTGCGTGACTCCCTGAAGCCATCGAAATGGGTATACTGTATCCTTTTTTATTTTGTTAATCCTCACCCAAGGATACTTTTTACTCCCCATTGATTTTTAAAGAGAGTGGAAGGGAGGGGGAGAGACACACAGACAGAAACATCTATGTGAGAGAGACACATTGATTGGTTGCCTTCTAAAGTGCCCCTATTGAGGCCAGGGATGGAGCCTGCAACTGAAGTATGTGCCCTTGACTGGAATCAAACCTGTGACCCTCCAGTCCATGGGCCGACACTCTAACCACTGAGCAAAGCCGGCATGGGCTACTGTATCCTCTATCATTTGATCTCCTGGACAGACAGGTAATGTCCTCCTATGTGAATAGCTCAGACCAGTGGTTGGCAAACTGCGGCTCGCGAGCCACATGCGGCTCTTTGGCCCCTTGAATGTGGCTCTTCCACAAAATACCGACTTCTGCGCATGAGCCACGAAGTTTCAATCGCACTGTACGTGCGCGCCCACATGTAGTATTTTGTGGAAGAGCCACACTCAAGGGGCCAAAGAGCCACATGTGGCTCCTGAGCCGCAGTTTGCCGACCACTGGCTTAGACAGTTAGTTGCCTGCTCAGAAGGCTGTGCATGTTGGGACTTGTGCTTTGAATACTACATGAGAGAGGCTCTCCCACGGCTCTACAGGGTGATGCACTTTGAGGAATTCACTTGCTGAGTCTTGAAAGGAACTCCTTGCCTTTATTAAAATAAAACAAAAAGGATGTCTGAGGTTTCAGTAATGGTTTCCAGATGAGGTTCAGCCTGCTACTCGGAGGTGTTGGTCCTCACCATGACCAGAAAAAGGTGTGGAATTTTCTCTGAAAACCTGAGCCTGCTCATAGACTAGAAGCCTCCTCCCCCAGCTCCAACTTAGCGAAACTGAGATGGGGTGACATGGAAAGATAACAATACAAAACTCTAACTCCAAACCTTGAAAAGCAAGAAATAAAAATCAAAATGTTCTCATTTCTGACGTGGGTTTTTGATGCTAAGTAAACTAGGAAAAGCCATGCTGAGGGAGCAAGCCCTTACCACCCCTTCACAGGGAAGTGGTCTTATACAAGTTCATGGTCCATCCATCATAGTAAAGATCCTTGAACCATACAACAATCAGAATATGTTTCCATAAGTGAGCACCATACATGGGGAGTGGGCATTTCTCCCCCAATCTCAACTCCCTCCTTTGAACAGAGAGGAGCCTCGAGGAGCAGGCAAAAAACATGGGCCTCATGAATGAGCACATTTCCTAAAAAACTGTATTTTAAGCATGGAACTGTAGGTGTCACACATTTTGGCAACAGTCATAATGTATTCGTATTTAAGCATGTATTTGTTTACAAATAATTGCCTTTGTTTATACTTTAGTTCACTCATAAAATTTCTCCCCACAGAGGTCTTTCAACCCAGGACCTCTGAGTCCAAACACATTTATATATATCACTTCCAATTCTAAACATTAATAGATATTATTGTTACTAGTAGTTGTAGTACCATTATCATCAAACTCTATTTTTCCACTGTGTGATTGGCAGTCTTATCTGGTTTCATTCCCCCTCTTCCCTTGGGATAGAGCCTTCTGATTATTATCTTATTTTTCTACCACATTCTCTTGGTCTCAAGGAAGCTAGGGAGGAAACTGAAGACAAAGCCTTTTGAAATACTTTAGTGGCTTTCCACAGAGCCAGCCCCAGAGCACCAGGTTTGCTGCTCAGCCCCACATCAAGTCCCACGAAGGCAATATTTCAAAGACTCCACAGTTGCCTATCAAAAGTGCAGCACAGACCCCTGTGTATTTGTTCAGAAGCCACCGGCCAATGGCCAGTACTCCATGCAGCTGAATGATCATACACTGACCCTAACTAAAACCATTTCTGCTCATGTCTGATTGTCAGCCTTCTTAAATGGAGTCAGCCACATGTCTCCACCAAATCCTCAATGAAACCTGTGTGGGCATCCGACTCTCTCCTCACTGTCTGGTCTTCAGATTTACAAGTCAGCTTCCTGGCCTGTAAGAAACTCACTAGAACTACTGGGAATGGATAAGTGGGCAAGGGGTGCCCCCTCTCCGTACCTGGGTGTGTATGGACTGGCTTTTCCAGAGTCTGTTCAGGGTATCCCCAATATCCCTGATGCCCTGGCAGGGAACAGGGTCTATAGGAAAACCCTCTGTTTGGGCACTGGTCCCTGCACATAGTTGGCACTTGGCAAATGTTGAATGGACATGGGAAGAACAAATTAATCTTATTGAAATATTCAGTTTTCCAAAACTTACAGAGATATTGCTGAGCTTAGGCATAACACACCTGTGTGTGTGTGTGTGTGTGTGTGTGTGGTCATTTCAGACCCAGGCTCAAGAAGCACTCACCCGACACCTCCCAGCAGCAAGTGCGCACACAATCTTTCCTGCCAACCAAGAAGATACCTCATGATCTAGTTTTCTCTGGGAAAATGTTAAGAAAGAGGAAGCAAACCCATGCTTAGAAAAATCTATTTTGGTTTGTTTGACGTGTCACATCCTTCCCTTAATGGAAGGGGACACGAAGTGGAAAAAGACTTACTGGGAAACAAGAAGTGTGGGCAGTGACAGGGTAGCTTACCGGCCAGAGAGCAGCAGGGACAGGCGGTTGATGGGCGTCTCGCCCTCCACAGCATACGTCTGCTCAGTGGCCAGAGTCAAGACCTGCTCCTCACAGCAGCGAACGATCTCCTTGTATGCCTGCATGGGCACCTGCAGGGGCACACACAGCGTCTTGTAGAGGAGATCGAACTCCTCAGGGAGGGTGTCCTTGCGCAGGCGGTAGACCAGGTGTGCCAGCTGGAGCAGGCAGGTCATTGCCAGCAGGAAGTTCCAGATGACAATGTCCAGGCCGCAGGCATTGAACCAGCCCCACAGCACGTAGCACACGTAGCCGGTGCCCAGGAAGCCAAAGAGATAGAAGCATCCGTATACCCCACTGCCCCCCATGAAGCCCAGGAGCAAGACGCAGTTAGCCAGGTGGTAGAGAGCCCCTTCCATATCCTGCTTCCAGCCAGCGCACAAAGGCCCCTGCCAGAGACGCTGGCCCAGCGTGCTGCTGTTGGCGCTCATCTTCGGGGCGTCTCAAAGTCTCGTTGGGCTCTAGGATTCTCCCACATAGGAAATTCTGAAAATGGAGTAGCCTGTCCTCCTATGTGTCTTCTCACCTCTGGCTTCTCACCACCAACTCCACTTGTCCTAGGAGCAAAGCTTCTGGTAGCTTTGGGAATGACTGGCAGGACATAGCACACTTTATGGAGAAGTTTGAACCTCTTTATCCTCTCCCTCAGCCAGGCGCTGGCCCTCGGGCAGAGGTCTGGCCAGCTTCTTTGGCTCCAGATTCCTTAGGCCGGTCTTCACATTTGGCTCTGAGCAGAAAACCTAAATTGTCCTGAGCAAAGGACAGGACTGTTGGCCTGAACACTTCCGCAGTGAGCGATGATAAAGGGACCACAGCCTGCTCTCTGTTTTCCCCAAACAGAGTGAGCAGCGGCCAGCACAGGAGGCGCACTTGTGTTCCATTTGGAATGTGTCTCTCTTGGCACCGGAAGAAAGGGTGACCCCAGATGGATACCATGTTTGGAATTGGAATACAAGAGGTACTGCCAGTGAGAAAAGACAGGCCAGGCACACAGGCAGGCTGGCAGAGCACTTAACATAACTCCCCAGAGGACAAGATAAGATCTCAGGGCAAGAGGCAGGCAGGGGAACACAGGAAAAGTGAGCACAGAATTCACCACAACAACTCAGGCAGGACACTGTCCAGGGCTCCCTGTGCTGAGGGCCAGGGGCTCTCCTGAGGTAGGAGGACACATCAAAGTAGGAAAGTATGGGACTATTACCAGAAAAAAAATCCTAACCGTGAGAACTGGAAAACCCCTTGAAGGCCTTTATTAAGTCACATTGTAAGTATCACTAGGCATTTATTTGACAGGTTGAGTTCTACACTGACTTTCCCCTGTGTTATAGGGGAATCAGTTATAGGTAATGCAATGGTAGTACCCTGTTCACACCCTCACCCTACCCACCCCGGCATTTGCAAAGATAATAACTATCACCTGTTAAATACCTGCGGCGTGCCAGACCTAGATTATGTACTTTACACAAATATTATTTCATCATTACAACAACCCAAAAAATATTATCCTCCTCCTAGCTCTGAGAGAAACTGAGGCTCAGAGAGGTAACAAGTTCTCATAAGTAGCATGTAAGTGGCAGAACCAGGATTTGAACCTAAGTCTATCACACTGCTGTGTCTCACATAGTTTGCACAGTAAGTGAAAATGCAGGACTAGATCCATGACTCCCAACTCCACACTCACCCCAAGAAGTCTGATAATGCCCAAGGAACTTCTGGATGAACCTGGGGTCTACTTTGAGTCAGCAAGAAATAAATCTGGAGTATTTAAACATTATACTAAGAAATATCCCTCTGGCTTCCAAATGACTCCTTGATTTTCTTCCCCCCTTGCTTCTGGTTAACCTTTACCTCCATTAATCCTATTGCCCCTGAGGTATGGGCTGGGGACCGGAGGACCCAGTATCTTCCAGAACTATTCAAGTGCTCAATCCACATGGATTTTTATTATACTCCTAATAACCTAGCCATAATTAGTGAGGAATTAGAAATTGGCAAATATGCTGAGGAGTAGAGGTTTTCAACTCAACATGAGTACTTACTATGAGCCAAGCACTTAGAGCACCAAAGATTCTCAAGAGCTGTCACTCTATCAAGGGAAAGATACCTCAAATGCAAGGGTGATTCATCAATAGACAAGTGAATAAAAAAACTATGGTACATATATGTAATGGAATGTTTCTTGGCCATAAGAAAGAACGAAATCTTAACCATTTGCAACAGCATGGTGGACCTAGAGAGTATTATGCTAAATTAAATATGGCAGATAGGGAAAAACAAATACCATATGATTTCACTTATATGTGGAATCTAAGAACAATCTAAACAAACAAACAAAATAGAAACAGATTCATTGATACAGAGAACAGACTGATGGTTGCCAGAGGGAAAGGGGATGGGGAGCTGGATGAAAAAGGAGAAGGGATTGAGAAGTACAAATTGGTAGTTACAAAATAGTCATGGGGGAGAAACCAAGATGGCGGCATAGGTAAACACCAGAAATTGCTGTCTCGCACAACCACTTCAAAAATACAACTAAAAGAATAGTTCTGGAAGATACTGGGTCCTCCGGTCCCCAGCCCATACCTCTGGACATCATCCAGAACCACAGGAAGGCTGGCTGAGTGGAAATTCTACAACTAGAAAGAAAGAGAAAAGCACACTGAGACTCAGAGGAGGTGCGGTGTGGAAGTAAAGAGCAGAGGTACGGAGGCGCACGCAGAAAGGGCTGGCAGCTGAGGACACGGTTGTCTTTTTCAATCGGGAGGGAGTCTCAAGCTCC